ACTATACACTCACTTGATCAGAAGATGATCGGACAGCACTACTGCTCTTCAAGTAGATATTCTTCGGTGAAACCGGGATCACTTCATACACCGGGTTTCTCGCGGGCAGAGCTTTGGTTCGGAAACTCTTTTCTTCTCGGGATCTTCGGGTTTCGGAACTTGCTTCGGGTCTCGGGGTTGATACCGGGGCTTTGGGGGGTTAAAATAGGGCTTAGATGGTGTATTGGGAGTGGGAGAGAAGGGATGGAGTAACCATAGTCGGCTGACCCTTCAAATCTATTTATAGGGCAAATTTGGCCCTTGCCACGTCGTGGGATCCTTTTGCCACGTCGTGGGCTTGATCGTTACAGAATGCATCATCCCAAGTTGCATCTGGGGGACTCCCGGAGCTGTCAGGAGATTTGCCACGTCGTGGCACTGCTTTTCACGTCGTGGTCTCTGACAGTTTTGGGGTTTCGCGCCCCGAACTTCAGAAATTCATAACTTTCGCATACGAACTCTGTTTTTGACGTTCTTTATATCGACGCGAAGGTGAGATTATGCTCTACAACTCTCGTTTAGACTCCATTGGATCATTTTGACTTTATTTTTAATATATTATAATTATATTACTTATATATTATTTTTAGTAGGCCGGGAAAGGAAAACTCCGTTATAAACTCATAACTCCTTCATCTGAACTCCGTTTTCGTCTGTCTTTTTATCGTTGGACTAATATCGAAGACATCTTCGAATCTAGTTTAGATCACTAAGGATAGATATCTATCTACCTTAAATTCACTATTTACGTCGCGCTGGGTCATGCCGGTTCTGTTGCGAAACTTCGACAGGTCATAACTTCTTCGTTATAACTCGAATTTTGGCGTTCTTTATATGCTTGGAAACCTTGTGACATATACTACAACTTGGTTAAGATTAATCCTTATAAATAATCTTCCATCAAAAATTCATTTTTGATGCTTATCGTCTCTAATTTGACTAGCCCGGATCTACGGACGTTACATATCAATAGCTTCCATTAGCACATACATATATTAGGATTATAGTAGAAAATCCCCCAAAACAATTACATCATCATACCTCTAACGGGTAAGCATAAAATGCCCTACCTGGGTTTCTTTTCGTAGTTGAAGTCCGTATAATGCCTATCGCACCACAATTGCATTTCACCATATTTGATCGGCTGTGAGAAGAAAGGTGGGAGGAGAAGATTGCGATCGAGAAAGAAATGAGGAAGGAAGACGAATAAACCCTGTTTAAAGACTGGGTGATATGAAAAGACAAAATACCCCAACATGCTTATCACGTGGGGGGTTTCTAACCACAAAACAGACGGAATGTAAAGTGAGGGACCAGACGGGTTACAAATTTTATCATTAGGGATCATTCGAGTTAAAAATATTGCTTAGGGACTAGGCGTGCAGGTTACCCCAAACTACAGGGACCATCCATGTAATTTACCCAATAATATATAAGCTAATATAAGATAATACGAGAATTTTTGTTCATGGTTATAACCATGACTATTCTAACTTTGTGTTCATATTTCATAAGGTGTGTTGATCTAGCACTTAGAAATTTTGGTTATCTATAAAGATAAGTTTATTTTCTTGACTTTATTCTTAACAGCATTATTGTATTTTTATTTCGATTATGTGGGTATTGGATAATTATATACGTGGACAATTTTTTATTTATTTTTATTTCGGTATGAATAGACACATATGAAGTGGTATCCGTAAGAAAACTTTCTGCTTAGGTGTAAGAGATAATGATTTAAAAGGGTAATATATTTTTCGATTTTACACATTTAGTCACTGAGTTTTTTTTTCGTCTATATTTTACCCTTTCAATTTGTTAAACTGTACACATTAGTCCTTTGGACTAGCTACTCCAGGTTCACAGGTAAAAATGATTTAATAGGGTATTATATTTCTTATTTTGTACACATTTAGTCATTAATATTTTTTTTTTCATATTTAGTCCTTAATATTTTTGTTTTGTAAAATAAGTTATTTTTGTTTTTGTATTCATTAAATATTTATGAATGATTTCTTTATGTTTTTCTCACATCTTACGTGGGACGATCATTAATGAGATGTTTTGGGGCTTTTGATGTTTATGTCCATCACGATCTCAACTACTTGGTTGCTTAGGTCATATGTTCTGAACGTCATAACTTCTTCATACGATCTCGGGTTTTAATGATCTTTATATTCATGTGTTCGTATTTTAGTGTACTACAACTTTGTTTAGATTACTCCCGTTAAAAATAATATATTTTTACTTATGATCTTTATATCCATACGTTTTTTATGAATACATGTACGAATGTGTTTTTATAATATCGTAAGTAAAATATATTATATTTTAACGAGAGTAATTTTAACCCAAGTTATAGTAGACTCAAAAATGAACACATGGATATAAAGATCGTTAAAATATGATATCATATGAAAAGTTACGTCGTTCAGGACACAAGACCTAGCCAAACCATAAGACCTACGCAACCAAACAGTCGAGATCGCGATGTACATAAACATCAACAACCCCAAACAGATGATCAGTAATTGTCACACGTAAGATGTCGTGAGAAAACCTAATGAACTCATTCATATGTACTGAATGAGTACAAAAAAATGACTTATTTTGAAACAAAAAAATATTTAGGACTAAATATGTACAAAAATATTAAAGACTAAATGAAAAATATATTACTCTTTTAAGTCATTTTTCTCGGTTATCCTTGAGTAACCGGTCATAAAGACTGAATTTGTATAGTTTAACAAATTGAAGGAGTAAATGTGGATAAAAAAAAACTCAGTGATCAAATGTGTACAAATCGAAAAATATATTACCCTTTTAAGTCATTATCCCTATGTGTAAATATCATTGTAGTAGACTAAACTACAAAGACATGGATATAAAAATCGTTAACATCTGAGATCGTATGAAGAAATTATGACGTTCAGAATACATGACCTAAGCTACCAAGTAGTCGAGATTGTGCTGGACATAAGCATCAAAAGCCCCAAACACCTCATTAATGATTGTTCCATGTAATATGTCGTGAGAAAAAACTAAAGAAATCATTCTTAAGTACTGAATGAATATAAACACAAAAAAAAATTATTTTATAAAAAAAAATGAATGATTAAACGTGTATAAAAATATTAAGAACTAAATGTTTATAAAGTGAGAAATATATTACCTATTAAGTCATTTTTACCAACTAACCTACAGTATCCGGTCATAAGGACTGAACGTGTATATTTTAATAAGTTGAAGGAGTAATGTGGACGGAAAATAAAAACTCGGTGACCAAATGTGGAAAAATCGAAAAGTATATTATCCTTTAAAGTCATTATCTCTGTTGTATATACAAGAGCTGAACTTTTCACATATAATCGGATGAATTTTAACAAATATGATTCGAGTTTATGATATGTAATTCAAAATTTATATCATTTGATTTGAACATTTTTTTGTTGCCAATTTTTTTACGGAAAATGGAAAGCATTGTACATGTTAGTTTTGTTGAATTTTCATTGGTTTTCTTTGATGTTTTTCAGTGGAACAAAATAATCATGTTTGGAAAAGATGTCTTTTTTATATTTTATTATTATAAAGTTATGTATATCAAATTTAAATGTTTTATATTTTATTATTATGTTGTTTACATTAATCATTAAATTAAATAACATTATTAAAATTTTATAACCATTTTAAATATTATTATTATACATAAGAATCGTATCATGTCGTGTCGAGTTCGTGTCGTATCGAAACACTAAACGGGTTGAAAGTGTTTGACCCTAACCCGACTCATTTAATTAACGTGTCGTGTCGTGTCAACCCGTTTATTTTCGTGTCGAGTTCGTGTCGGGTTTCGGGTTAGGGTTATACCTTGAAATATGTCGTGTCATATGAGGTTAAAAGATTGAACATGTTAAAAGAGTAGGAGTTGGGTAGGCGGAGAGGAAAAACTAATAGTTTGGAGGCAGGATAGATGAAGTCATATCAAGTTCAGATGACAAAATTAAAAAAGTGGGAGTTGGGGAGGTGGATGAAAAGGTCGCGAGGATGTGAGAGTGGTGAAAGAAACTGGGTAGTTTAAAAGAGAATGGAAAAACTGAAATTAAGTCTTGATCTAGACGGCTAAGTCATTTCAACATTACAAAACGACTCAATTCGAAGGTTTTCTTTTACTTATGTTTTGGTTTTGTATCTTTCTAGTTTATTTAAATAATTCAAAAAATTTGCATATAAATAAACGGGTCATTTTCGAGTTGAAATTCCCAACCCTAACCTTACCCGTTTAATTTTCGTGTCGTGTCGTGTCAACCCGTTTATTTAAACGGGTTGAAATGTCTTACCCAAATCCATTTATTTCGTGTCGGGTTTCGTATCGTGTTAAGTTTTTTAGTTCTTAACCGTATATGTCATACGGGTTATAGTCTAATGATTGTATATAGTTAACAGTGCAGGTCATCAATGTATGGCCATCCATAAACATAAAAATAAAAATACGTTACAACTTAATTACCGACTTACTAATTATATTAACATATTATTGCATGAGTACAAGACGTATGGCTTCAAAAATTACAACCTCTTGTTTGGTGGGTTATCTTATCTCCCACAGTTTTGCTAGATTTTTGGATAAGGTGATATGTAGAATGATTACTCTTAGCCTTTAATTTCTAGTTGCATTTGGCGTCATTATAAGTAGAATAGAAGCAGAATTGTAGCAACCTGGTAATCTCCTTTCCTTATTGCATTTAGGTTTTTCCCTTATTTTTCCAAGCCTTCATAACCAATTTTTCTCTATTGCTATGAGCACTAAACTACAGCAAACATATTACTTCCAACAAAAATAAAGTTTGTAATACCAATAGTTAGAAACTTAGAATCACAACAAGCATTTATTTAACAATTTGAAATAACAATCTTTAAATTGCATAAAGAAATTCATTTTGAAAGAGTAACGACTGGATTCGTTAGTACACTGGTAGATCTTGATCATTCGGATCTATTGGTGACAAAACCCAATGACCATCATCATTAAGCACCATTCCTTTGTTCTTCTCACCCCACCAAGTCCCTGGTATCTTCAATTCATCCTTCAGATAATCAGTCGACATATTTACCAAACCTAAATCTCTCTTCTCCAAACTCCAATCAAATTCTCCATTCATTCCAATCCAACCACTCAAAGTATGCAAAACACCCTCCAAGTTATGGAAAACCATTGGATGTAGCATTCCATTCAACCCATTTTCCTCCTTCAAGTATGGTGACTTCTTGGTATCAATCAGTATCTCGATCCCAACATCAACGTACTCCAACAAATCACTTGGCACAGTCACCCAATGCTTTTCGTTAACCCATTTCAGTAGCTTGCTTGGCCAAAACGGGATAATATCGGGAACATTCTTTACCCTCAACACTTTAAGGTTAGCCATTTCCTCGATCTTTGATTTGAAAGCCTGGTTACCCACTTGAGGAGACTCGAAAACAAACGCAGATACATTGACACCAACGTTGGCAGCAAGGTCAACCGCAGATAAAGTTGCTAGGCATGCACCAAGGCTGTGTCCGGTGCATGTTATGCTTACTTTTTCATTCTTGTACTTGATCAGCAACTCATTGATTCGTCCCAAGAGCTGTGTTCTAGCACTTGTTTTAAGGAATTCAGAATTTGGGTCACTCGTGTTGTAAATAATAAGCCACCCACCCATGATTTGTGGTATCTTCTTAACTTCATCAGTTAGCGTAGCGCTACTACGATTTACAGGTGGAACTAGTGGCTCAGCTGACACAGGCGTTGCGCCTAAGATGTCATCCATCCACTCGTAAAGTCTAACAGTCCCGCGCCAAACGACACATATTTCACGACGACCAATGGATTTACTGTACTCATCGTTAGAAACTGCTACGTAACCCATCCAGTTTGAATCGAAGGCACTATCAGCTTCACGAGGCATGCGAGGAATGAGCAAAGAAAGCTCGATGCTTGAGGTGGCATAGATGAAAGAAGTGACTTGAAACTTAGATTCAGCCCAAGGGAGCATCAGGCCCTTGAAGAAGGAGCTCTTCCCGTAGTGGCAGTAGCCGCAGTACTTGGAGCCCTGATCGTCATTGAAGGCACGTTCAGCAGCGGAACAGAGGTCACCATAGCCGAGGATGAGAGAGCGTAGACTGTGATCTAAGGGGTCAAGAAGACCATCCCAGTCGTTGCTTCCATGTAGCTCGTCGTAGCTTTTTGAATCCATGAGTTTTCTTTAATTTGATGAACTTTGTTAAGCTGTGTTTATGGCTTTAGGCTGGTGTGGTATATTTTGTAGGATGACTCGCAATATATAGAAGTGTTGACGATGACAACTAGCTTTGATGAATTTCTTATTTCTTATAGTTATGTTTGGTATATGGAACTTTGAGTATATTGTAATTGCAAAAGCGTGTTACATGTGCAACCATAAATTTGGATGTATTTAATATAAATATAAAATATATCTATTTGTAAGTCAACAAAAGTTAAGACTGATCAATGAGCTTTTATCACTTTTAAAATTGAAGTTACGAGCTTAAGCCGATCCAAAATTATAAGCATTAGTTTTCTTAATTTAAAAAAAAAATAAAAAAATAAAAAATAAAAACTTATCATGTGGATGCATTTTAAACGTGCAAGTGGTGGGAGATAGTTTGCTGGCCTCTTATTCTTGATCCAAGTTTTGACCTTTTTGCACTTGGGGTTTGTTTGCTGCCTTGTTTACTCTTTGGTGCTTTTCGGTTTAGTTTTAGTTAATAGTTAGTTTCTCATGCGTTAATCTAGATCTGAAACCATCATGTTAATTTGAAGCACGTAAAACAAATAGAAAAGTGGTTGATTTCTTAAGCCCGACTCAGTTTAATTTTATGCATGTACGAGAAGTTTGTCTCACTAATGTTAGAAGTTTGTCTCACTAATGCTAGGTGAAAATATAAAATGGCCTCTACAACAATTTAGGTTGATCAAATTATAAAACAACACCTAGCTTCAGAAATTTAACAACCTACACCTAAAATCTAAATTCAATAGAAAATGCCGAGTTGTCAAAATCTCACATAGCCGATTATTGCAACAACTTGAGCCGCTGAAAACACCACAAACCTTTTAGAAATGGTTTAATAGAAATCCGACCTCCGCGTTGCGGGGTCACTTTTTCTAGTTATTAGTCATTAATTTTCTTACTTTGTATTATAGATTTAATTAGTGATTTTATTTGTTATACACTAGTTGTGAGACCCATGTATAATATAGGTTAATTTAAAAAAAATAAATAAAACTATCAAAATATTTGAGAACTTTGAATTTATAAGAAAATAAAAAAGATAATGAATTATTACAATGAAAATGTTTTTTTTTTTAATTTAAACAAATAATTTAAATAAATAAAAGAAGTTAATAAACTTTAATTTTGAGAATTTTGAAATTCAAAGGTAAGTTAATTAATGAGATTGATATTCATTTATTATTAGATTTATTGTAATTATTACATTAAAATATTAGATGAAATTTACTAAAATAGAAAAAAAAAAAAAAAAAAAAAAAACATATAAAATGACATTGAAAAAAAAATTAATTCCAAATAACTACGAAATAACATTTAACAAATTCAATGAGAATGTGATGGAAAAAAAATATTTATTTATTAGAAAATATTATTCTTTTAAATATTTTATTAGTAACATTTTGAAACTTTTATATTTATAACGCAAAGAAGTTAAATTTTTGGGCACTTAGTTTTAGGACAACCTCTCCTTACAAGGTTAGTTTAATGTTATTTTTTTTAACTCAATTGTTTGTGTAATTGTGTTAAATTTGTGAACTGTTGGAGTTTTAGAGTTGTTGAAGCTAGATTCTGTGATAATATTCATTCATAGTAGTACAATAATAGTTTATGTAATTTTATAAAAGTTTGTGAATTTTGGCTATAATATCCTATGATTGTTTAGATTTGAATGGAAAATTTTGTGAATCGTTGATATTTAAAAGTCTCTGAAGTTGATCTATTTGATAATACATAGAGAATCTATGAAATTGATCACTTTGTATACGACAAATATCCAAATTTGTACTAATGTTGCATTGGTAGCATGAGCCATTGAGCCTAAAAATTGCAAAAGAGAAAAGGGAGTGAAAAAATGATAACGGAAGCCACTTTTTATCAAAGCCAGGTTTCGATCCTGGGACCTGTGGGTTATGGGCCCACCACGCTTCCGCTGCGCCACTTTGATTGTTGATTTTTCATTCATGATACATTATTATAATCCTACTTAACAGCAGCTTTGGTTATTATTTAATTGGTGAATGTTTTACTCTAATACTAACTATTTAACAAAATATAACTATTAAGCTGCAAATGTTAGAAACTCATTCACTCTATAAATTTCGATTTTATCTCACCAAATACATCATATTTTTTATGAGGTGATTATTTGAATTCCGAGTAAAGTGTTCTTTTGGTTATCAACTAATCATAATAATGCTTTGTATAAGAAAAGCATTCTGTAGATGGTTATTACAATTTTAATCTTTAGAATCTCTACAATTGTCCTTTTCATCTTTCACTTCCAAACTTCAATAGGTGTGGTTAATCAGACTTTGTTAAGTCAAACCCAAAATTGATAAAAATGCATACCAACCTAAAATTGTACCCATTCTATTTGAACTTAAAATCTCTAAACGCATACATACAATGGCAGCTTTACGTATGTACAAAACAAGAACACAGTGAAAACCATTGTCCATCGTGTAGTAGCTAGAGTTAGTTGGTTAATTACTATTATACCCATTCAAAATTGGTTTCTTTAGGTAGAACAAGAGCAATGAGGCAGTCTGGTGTATCAGGGGCAATGGAGAGAAGAGAGCAAGTCTCATGCGAGTAAGGAAGAATGAACACAAGTCTTGACCATATGGTTCTAGTAGTCCCAATCTTAATCACTCCTGCACACTCCCTTTGCTTCAGGTATGATATAAAATCTTGAAACTGCAATTTCAAAAAAAAAATCATAAACATAGAAAGTTACAGTGGTAGTTAAGATCATAAGTTTGTTACCCCTTTGTGGTCAGCAGCAGAACTTGGGAGGAGTTGGCATACCTCTCTCTGTATATCACATCAACACACACCACAAGTATTAATAAATAATTTTATCGCCTTTAATAAAAAAATTATATAGAATTATTAATTATATGACCTTGTGTGGTGGGGTGCTAGAAAATGTTGACATCACATGTCTAAAATCAGTCCGCTTTGTTATATCTAGTTTAGCAGGCCATCTAAAAACCACCAACATAAATCAATACAAGTTAGTAATTTATATATATCCAAAACAGAATATATCAAATAAAAAAAAAATTACTCTGTAGGCTCTGAGATATTATTATCCGAATAATTGCAGACATCTGAATGCAGTTTCCGTGCATGTATTGTAGAGTAGTGAACCCCGCTTTTACTCAATGTCCCCTGCCAGTGACTTCCCATCATCGGAGACTCAACCGCCGGTGGCGGCGGAGGCGGTGGCTGAGACTCGAACGAAGGAGGTGGAGACGGTGGCAATGGTGGCGGTAATTCCGGATGAATCGGTAACAGAGGCGGCATATTTGGTTGTGGTGGTAATGGTAATGGCGGTGGCAGGGTTAACTGAGGAGGTAATGGAGGTGGTCCCACGTCAGGCTGAGGTGGCACATAATACATCTGATCATGATGCGGCGGTGGCAATGCATTATGAGTGAGTGGAGTTACAGAAGCAGGAGGAGGAGGCAAGAAAGGAGGAGGTGCTGCCACATGATGATGATGGATCATCCCATGTGGCTGTGGGTCCCCCCACGAGCTATTTGTCGGAGGAGGAGGATAATACATAGGTCTCATTTGTATCGGCTGTGAGTGTGATGGTGGTGGACCATAATGCCCCTGCATGTGTGATAGCGATACACTTTCCGGATTATTCCTATACGTCCAATTTTGGTATTGCATATTGTTTGATTGGAAAGTAACAGAATCCCTTTGGGTTTTATCTTTACGATAATGTCTAAGATGTCCAATAACTGTGGCAACCTCTTCAGGAGACCCAAACTCCATCAACAAAGCACCTTCACTCATAAGCTCATTAACTGCAACTGGGCCCTTAAAAACTACTTTCCTTACTTCATACAATATCTCATCTTTCTCCAACTGGCTTTGAATGTTTCCAACATACACATGACAGCTACACCCAACAGCCACACCATTTATATCGCCTCTTGTGCCTACGCCTATATCTAAAAACTTTATCACCCAAGGAGAACGCCCCCCTCATAATTTCCCTACCCTTTATAGCATCCAAAATGTTATTATACTCAATAACTGCAAACCCTTTAAATGCTACGTATAAAAACTTATCTATTGGCCCAAATCTTTCAAATTGAAACCTTACATGTCCCTCAGATGAGTCGGGCCCACCTAACGACCCTACCCAAAGCTGTCTTGAAGCGGTGTAAACATCCATTGCGGCTCGGTCCCCGTCACCGAGCCAACTCGGTTGACCGGTCAACGGAGTTACATGATGTTTGTTAGGTGATTCGAATGTTCTATTATTCCCAGTTTGATTTCTTCCATCGAATGGGTCCCGGGGAGTTGATGAGCTGGCGTGGGGGAACTCTTTGTGGTCTACAGAGTCTAGGTCCATAGATTTTGGGCCTCCACTGTTGTTGGAACTTGTGTTGGATGTTATTGATCCTTCTCTAACAGAAGCTTCTGAGGTTCTAGGAACTAAAAACTGCCTAGGGGTATTTTTGGAAGAATTTGTATCGTCTCCATCGCTGTCCACTTGTTTGTCCCCTGACTTCACCTCTTCTAATATTTTCTCAAAAAGCAGAGGTGATGTCAGACACAATGTTAGATGGAGTTGATTTGCTAATGCTTTTGACTGTTGAAAGTATCCATTTTTTTAATGATGGATCCTTATCAAGAACCAGACTCAATAAGCAGTTTTTGTCTGTTGAAACTTTATCATCACATGTGTCAAGTCCAGCTGTCACCTGATTAAGAAAATACAGTCCCCCATTGGGAACAGGAACAGCATCGGTTGAAATTGAATTAGAAGTACAAAGCTCAAAGCATGCTGCAAGTGAATTTCTAGGACAGGTAAAGAAAATCCATAGCATACATAATGCACGAAACTTGGATAATATGACAGATGGAGATTCATTTTCGTTAGAAACCTTTTCTTTGAGATCAGAGAATGTTTTTGGAGAATCAAAGATGTTTGCAACGTCTTTGTTTACAATCTGGAAGATTCCTTGTCCCTCAAATGATGAAATAAAGAAGGTTAGAACATTGAGAAATACAGCTGAACAGATGCCTTGAATAACAGAGGATGTTGGTGTCTCTGATGAAGCAGCTTGACAGATAGTAGCCAGACCAAATATACTGATTTTAGCAGTTCCAAATGAAAAACCATCAGCATCTTCACCTCTGTTTATGATTGCCATGCTCCAGTTATGTACATTGATACAAACTTTTGCTGCTGCTTCAAGAGCAGTAGGGCAACATGATGCATATTTGGGGACAAACTCTGCTACAAGGCGTTGAACACTCGTGCAACCTGTGTTAAAAACATTTTTTAAATGATGATCAAATGAGTTCTCTTACACTTCAAAACTGGTACCATTGGGATTTTGTAGAAGATAGCTTTTGTCTATTACAATCAAAAAAACAAAGTGGGTACAATGGTTAGTGAAAATGTTTTTATATATATGTTTGTAAATGTAAACCTCAAAATATGTTGTTGTCTTTGAATAAAACTAAGAGGTTATAAGATAACTTTGTTTGCCTTTCTTCTTTCTAAATACAACAATATAAGTACCAAAACATCAATAAGGTTGGTGGTATACAGGTGCATTTGAAGAGTGCTAGGTTTGAAATGGATAAAGCTTATTGCTTTCTTTGGATCAGAGGAGCACCTATTGCACATCAAATAAACAAATTCACGCACAGATTACATATACTGATAACTAGAATTTTTAGAGCCCGAATAAATAACGAATCGGATAGGTCTTGGTAGCAATTGTACCATGAATTACTAACATAGTCTCATTTTCATCATCTTAAAAGTTAATTTTAGGGTTTATAGATAGTTTTCTTTAAGAAATGTGTACCTCTGGAGGCGGTGATGAGGGAGAGATAAGCCTGTTCAAGTTCGGGCATGAGACGAGCATCCTTCTGAGAAATACAATACTTAAGACGCTTGTAAGACTCGTAGAAGTTGGCAATCTCCTCTTGATTTCTCCGCTTTCGGGCAATTTCTTCCTGCGATAGGGTTGTAGTAGGTACATTCGCACTCGTGTGAGGCGCCGGTGGCTGTGGCTCTGCCGTTGATGGCGGTTGCGGTGAAGATGGTTGCAGCAGGTCGTACAGTTTTCGCTTCTTCGGAGGCTGCTCCGTCGAAGCCATGGCAGTGGGGGTGGAACTTCTTTCGTCAGACAGTTGCTTCTGAAACAGTATTAAAGTGTGGCATAAAAACAAAAGAATGGTCAAAATTTTCTTTCAGCACCTCCAACTTTCAACTAATGTCATTAAAACTTCACACTAGAAATTGGGTTGCAAATATCACCCTTCATTTCTCAAGTTAAAGGTTAATCGATAAAAATAACAGCCTACATTCTTTTTTTATTTTTTCCACTTTTTAAAAAGCATGCTTTTCTTTTTATAAATCATATCCATATATGTATATCAAAGAGGGTGAATAGGTATAGCAGGCCATGCCCTTTAAGGGTTCATCACTTGTTAAACTTAGTATTTTGTATTTGCTTGGCATATTTTGCGAGGATTTAGACTTTAGAATGACAAAAAAACATTATTAAAGATGCAAAGAAAAATAAAGGGCACAAGAAATAATATGGTTCACACAATCAGGATAATCATGCTCATAAGAGATGTATTATTCCTTTTCTCAACAATACAAAACTTTCTCAACACATATAACCTTTAAAGAAAAACATAGCTGAAAACACATGTTTACATGACACACGGCTAATTCCCACAATTGCTAACATGAGGAAAATAAATCACGAGCAAAGGGGCACAAAAGGTATATAATAGGAACATTGGTACATTAAGGTGATCAAGTGTTATTCTTAGGGGGCGAATTTGCAAATTTCCACGAGATACGCAGAAGAGCTTCACCAGTTCTACAACCAGCAACTTCATTGATAGGAATCGCATTAGAAATTTCTTCAACGTCTTCTTTTGTAAGTTTCACTTTAACTGTTCCAACATTCTCATCAAGATTCGTAATCTTAGTTGTACCTATGTCAAAAAAAGAACCAATCAGAAATAGGAGTACATATATTTCTTTATAACGATAACAATTTTGAAAAAGCAAATTATTGTAAACTTACCAGGAATAGGCACTACATCCTCCCCCTGATGAAGAACCCACGCAAGAGCAAGCTGAATAGGGGTACATCCGTAATTTTTTGCCATTGCCTCTACACGATCATAAACAACCTTGTTTTTTGTAAAGTTTTCTCCAGTAAACCTCGGATGTGAACCCTAAGAGAGAATCTTCGATATCAAAAGCTTTTTATACTCCTAACTTTAATACAAATATATGTAGTTGATCAATTACCAATATACTATTTTCGGGTACACTTTCTTTAATTGCTTTGCCCCCAAAAAATCCACGCCCAACAGGACTGTATGGAACTATACCTATTCCAAGTTCCCTTTGCAACAAACAAATTCAGTGCAACATACAAAAACCCAAATGGGAAATAAATCAATACATTGAATAGACAATAGAAATACACCTGCACAACGGAGTCAGTTCTTCCTCAATATCGCGGGTCCAAAGGGAATATTCCATTTGTAAAGCAGTGATTGGATGAATGGCATGTGCTCTCCTGATTGTGTCTGCGTTAGCTTCAGATAGCCCGATGTACTTTATCTTACCTTCTTCCACCATCTTTTTAAGTTCTTCCATCTGTATTTCAAAAGAGGATGTAATGTCTGTATGTGAAACTCAAGAAATCAAGGTCCACAAGTGTAAACTTACAGTGTCTTCAATAGGAACAGTTGTGTCAATTCTATGTATGTAATAGAGATCAATGTAATCCACACCCAACCTCTTTAGGCTACCCTCACAACACGAACGTGCATATTCAGGGGTACCTTTGACTTTAATACCAGTGGGTTCAATCTTGAATATACCGAATTTTGTGGCTAATTGGATCCTTTCACGAGGTAATTCCTTTAATGCCTGCAGCATTCTAGTTTAATCAACTAGGATAAATGTTTGGAATGTGATTACATTGGCAAGAATTTCATGAAGATTATTTATATAGCTTTGTTGTTTTGTATAAGGAAATCCAATTACCTTCCCAACTAGTATCTCATTAGAATGCTGAACCCCATATACATCAGCAGTATCAAAGAATGTAATTCCTCTATTAAAAACTTCCTTGAGCACTTTGATGGCTTCTTCCTCAGGGAGAGGATTGTTATAGATACCTGTAAGCCCCATGCAGCCATACCCTAATCTTGAGACCTGTATAAAGGAAAATGCGGTTGAATGTCTAACAGATCCATATCTAATTTGCAACTTAGAATTATTCTCTCTGTCAGACAATCAGGGTTGATTTTTTGCAGAAAATGTTAAATTAAGGTACATGTTAAGTAGGCTATAAGAAGTTATAGAGTTTTATGGATCATAGTTCCGGATTTAACATACTCTCTGAGCAATGATCTGATCCGAAAAATGAGATTTGTTTAAAACAGATGAACAGGGTAACGCTAGGGTTTGAATGTTTGATAGAAGTGTTTTTTTAATTTTTTTCTAAATAGCTTCACAGGAATCTCTGCACCGAGGAGGCAGATCCTATTAGTCAAACCAAACGATCACACAAGTTTGGGAATGCAAGTAGCAACTAGATAGGAACTTAATCAGAGAATCGGATATGCTAGCAACATAATCCGACAAAATGCAAACAAGGTAAATACCAATTAGAATTATGCTACGATCAATGAAAGAGACCAAACAATCGTTTCTGATTTGTGCCAATGAACTAGGATGTGGTGAAACAATGCTGGCTGATCATATTTGAAACGGAAAAGGAAAAGATAAACGAGACTCTGACCTCAAGCCCCTGATTCCCAAGCTTCACTCTAGGCATCTCGAAGGTTGAATTACGCTCCGCCATTGTTGCAATGCTCAAGTCGGGAGTCGAGACTATCGAATGTGGTAGGTGAACTCAGTGATCTTCACCAAGTTTCATGGAAGCACGCGAGACGATTGATCAAGGTAGGTGACCTCAATGCTCGCGTCGCGTCGATAGTCTAGACTGTGGTAGGTAAACTGTAGGAACTGAATTCACTCAATTTCTAGACAAATTTGAAAATTTTCTAGACAAAATTGAAAAAAATGGTTGACAAATTTATACAGTTTTGATCCAAAATTATACACTGATGTACTGTTGGTTCAATTTTGGATTTTTTTTTTTTTTTTTTTATTGTTTTTGGATTCTACACACTTAAAAAGACGATTATGTCTTTTTAATTTATATTTTTCATTTTTTTTAATTGTTAAAATACATAAATTAATTTAATCTATATTTTTATTTTTATTTTATTTGTTTTTTCTCTCTAAAAACACACACCCCGATGAAAGAAACGAAGAAAAAAATAGGGACAGCCAAGGGCTGCCACCCTCAACCACCCACCGATGACCCCCCACCGTCGTGAACCACCACAAACGGCCACTCTCTATCCCCTACTTGTATTGTAGAATCTATTGCACGACCCACCCTTCACGTTTTATGTTTTCCTTTTCTCATTTTACTGCCAAGAACAACCACCACCAAGGAGTGGTGGTGGTGGTGGTGTTGTTGTTGTTGTGACCATTGAACATCACTAGGAACCACTTTTGTTCACCAGTTTTGCCAATCAGCAATAACCCAAACACACCCTTTGACCACTGCCACCTCCCCTCTCTCTCCCTTGCTTCTTTTCTCAGATAACAATAGCCCCACCAGAGGTGGCATCAACCTCCAAAGAACCACTGGCTGCCACCCCGTCTTCCCCCATGTGATGATGACTGTGTTTTGCACTCTAGCTCCAATGGGAGGAAGGGACAGTGGAAGTAGGAAAGGTGATGCACCTCTTGTGCCAAGCTGGTTTGAAGAAGGAGGATATTGACCTCATCAACAGGTGGCTCGACGATGGCAATCGATCACAAAGAGGGGCAAAACAAGAGTTTGTTAGCTCTTGTCGTTCATAGAGTAAACACACCATCTCCAGTGAGGTATTTTGGCAAAATCAAAGAACGAAGGGGCACAAAAGCAATAAGGGCTACTCAGTTAGCGATCTGCAAATGAGAGGGAAGGAAAGCAGGTCCGTGGGAAGCAAAAAGCAGCTACCGATGGGCTTTCCGTTCCCGACCTGGAGCATTGAAAACTTCTAACAACCATTAACAACTGTTGGATCATGCAAATCAACTTCCCGACCTTTCTTTCTCTTACAGTACACCCACCTTACCAAATTCACACCTTCAACATCTTTAACCTTTATTCAATTGGCCTTTCCGTTCATCGATTCAAAAGGTATAGCTCCAAAGTCTTCCACTTCATCTTCCTCAAAACTAAAAAAAACCAAACAAAATCGAACATAATCATAGTTAGGTATATAAGGATGAAAGATTTATGGATTTTATTGCTCTCTTGTAGTGAAATTGCAAAATAGGATTAGGTTTAAGAGTTTATTCGTGAAAAAATACGAAGGAAAGAAAGAGGGAGACGACAGGGGAGGGAGGGATAAGAGGGGTGGTTTGGGGTTTTTTTTTCCTTTTTTCTTTTTTTAATTAGAATAATTAGAAAATGAATTAAATTAAATTAAAAAGGAAATTATTTAATGACGGATTTGTTATTTCAGGTGGAGTATGGACCAAAACTACATATATAACCCAACCATAAGGACCAAAAACAATAAAAAGATCCAAAATTGGACCAGTGATGCACCAAGGTATCATTTTGGACCAAAACTGTAAAAATTTGCCAACCACAAGGATAATTTTTGCAATTTTGTCCAATTTCTATGTTGGATTCTCTCTCGTTTGTAAGGTGCTTGTTTCGATTGGCTTTAAAACGTCGAGTTTTTTTTATGAAAACAAGGTTATTGAAATAACTATTTATTAGTGTATTTGAAAAGACAAAACTGCAAATTTGGTCCTTGTGGTTTGCCAAAACCTTTGGATGAGGTCCAAAAAGTTTCCAGCTTGCACCAAAGGTCCAAAATCAAGGTTTTCATGGGTTCTTAGTCCATTCCGTCATTGTCCGTTTGTTTGGAGTCGTTAATGCCATCACGTGCCCTCCATGTGAGGGCATATTGGTCATTTTAGGTCCTATCCTCCGTTGTCACCACTTCAATTAATAAGATTGCAGACTGTACCTCACTCCTTCGTCTTCTACTCATACCTCAATTATCCAGACACAAAAACCCTAACGATTGTCTGAGAATTGGCTTGTGTTAATGCTTTTGAAAATGTGGGGACTTAGAAATGTTGGAGAGAATGTTAACGTTCAAGAAGTTTATGGTAAGATTCATACTTTGAAAAAACTTTGAAAAACATTGTATTTGATGATCAAGCTTCAAACTTTGAAAAACTCTAACAATCGTCTCTTTCTGTTTTGAAGATGGTTACCCCAACATATTCTCTATTGAACTTCATCACGGAGGGAGTTTCACAAAGTTTCCAAATATCAGGTATATTAATGGCCAAGTAAGGTACTTTGATGTTGTCGACATTGATGAATTTTCTATTCATGAACTAGACTTGATGATGAGAGAATTAGGGTATGATGGTGCTGAAATCATGTATTACCATTTTCGTTTGCCTAATGAAGGATTTGACTTTGGACTCCGAGCATTAGGTAACGATGATGATGTACGTAATCTCTCATAGTATGTTACCCATAACAAAATGATGAAAGTGTACACAGAGCATGGTCAAACGAACTTGCTTACATATTTTATGTCCCCAACTGGTCCAAGAAGGGTTATAATATAAGACATGGACAATCAGGGTCCTCTTAGACCCTCATCACCTGTAGCTGCTCATGAAGTGGTAACTCCAATCCAAATTGATGTTGGTGAGGGTGATTTAGGGTTAGCATTTACCTTATACAAATCAGCAGCACTTGAATTTAGTAGGTCTAAAGGTTGGAAACATAGTAAAGGGGCATCATCTTGTAGTAGAAAGCTTAACTTGGATTGGGAAGGTGGTGAAAAAACAATGGCAAGTGGTGAAGTTGATAAAGGTAAGGGTGTAGTTGATGCATAAAAAGAGTTAAACAAAGAGTTAAACAAAGAGATTGATAGGAATGAAGAACTTGGCATGAACAAATCCAATGGTGAGGGTGTAGAAGGATTTGCAGATGAGGGGTATAGAGTTGTCATGGATAATGATACTTAAGGAGTCAATGAATTTTCAAATAACATCAACATAGATGATGAGTTAATGAGAAACTTTCAACCTTTTGAAGGGTTTGAAGACCACGATAGCATTCCATTTAATGGGTTTGAAGGACAAGATAATATTCCTTTCAATGATGAGTTGAGACAAGAGGAGCCTGATGACATTGAGTTTGAGAATCAAAATAGTGAAGATGAAGATAGTGACTTTATGATTGATGAGGACAACATAATTGAAGATGTTGAAGTTGACATGGAGGATTTCAATCTAAATATTGATATAGAAGTAGAGTTCAATGGATGTCAAAGTTTGGGTGGTCAAAGAAATGAAGATAGTGATGAAGAAGAGGATGTGGAGGTAATTGATAATGACGAGTGGGATTCACTAAGTGAGGACTCAGGGGACAACAGGAAAAGAAGAGGAATGATCAAAGAGCTGGGGAAACAAACATTATGTTCTGCTGGTGAGGTACACAAGGTAGCTTTTCATATTGGGCAAAAATATAAAGCCAAGAAAGAATTGAAAGATAAAGTTGACCTGCATGCTTTAGAGACAAGGAGGAATATTTCATTCACAAAAAATGAAAAGAGTAGATTAACAACTGTTTGTGATGGTATTGTAGTTTTAAATGCAAGTGGGGTAGGTGGACCTACCTCTGGGAAAAAGGTAAAGGGTAAAGATGTAAACCCAGATAAAGTTAAATGCACATGGAAACTTCATGCTTCTAGGTTAAGTGAACAGGACTATTGGTTTATTAAGACATATAATCAGAAACAAATCTGCCTCCAAACACGAAAAATCAGATCTTGCACAACCACATTTATTTCCAAACGTATTATGGATCAGATTGAAGCTAATCCTGGACTACTTGTTCGTGCCCTACAATAGCAACTCCAATCAACTTATGGAGTTAGTATTTCATAAGATAAAGCATTTAGGGCAAAAGCATTAGACACCAAAAATGTTGCAGGAGATTACGTAAAGCAATATGCAACTTTGAGAAACTATTTAGTAGAGCTACAAAAGACAAATGAAGGTACAACTGTAAAGATTGATGTGGTTTCTGAACCTATGGTTTCATCCCCAACCAACCAATTCAAAAGGATATACGTGTGTTTAGGTCCTTTAAAGAAAGGATTTAAGGCAGGTTTGAGATAATTTTTAGGCTTAGATGGAGCCTTCATGAAGGGACCTTTCCCAGGTTAAATAATAAGTGCAGTTGGTGTTGATTCCAACAATGGAACCTACCCATTGGCATATGCTGTTGTTGAAAGTGAAAACACTTCAAGTTGGAAATGGTTTCTTCAGTGTCTTGCAGAAGATCTTGACTTGTATTCAAATTCCAATTTCACCTTTATCAGTGATAGACAGAAGGTACTATAGTTACATTTAATATTGCATACTAGGTTTCATTACAGACTAATGCTAATTACTTATTTTGTTTTGGTGAAAACATGGTCTTTTACCAGCCATAAAACAATTGTTTCCTAATGCAAAACACATGTTCTGTATTAGACACATATACCAGAACATGAGGATCATATTTAAGAATACAAAGTACAAGGAGTATTTTTGGAGGTGTGCTACAGCCACCACCATACCAGAGTTTGAAGTTGTAATGGTAGAGCTAAAGAATTATGACATATAAGCATATCAGTGGCTCTTGAAAATCCCTCTACATCATTAGGCTAGAACTCATTTTTCAGGTATTTTCTCAATTTGTTGTCTTATCTTTTATTATAGTATAGATATACACTAACTGTTATTTTCTTAATGAACTACTAGGAAGGGCAATTTCAGACATGTTATTGAATAACCTTTGTGAAGTGTTCAATAGCAAACTTGTTAAAGGGAGAGACAAACTCATTATCAGTTGTTTGGAGTTCATCAGAGAGTACCTTATGAAAAGAGTATGTAATGTGATGAAGGTGTTAAACAAGTGTCAAGGTCCATTAACTCCAACTGGTACTAGGATTTTGGAAGCAAACACAACACTTGCTAGTAAGTATCATGCACGATGGAATGGGGGATAAAAGTATCAGGTTAAAGGTCCATGGAATGATCAACATGTGGTGGACATGGATAAAAGGGAGTGTAGTTGTAGAAAGTGGGAGCTTACTGGAATTCGTTGCAAGCATGCAATTGCAAGCCTAAATGAAATGGCAGACAATAATGAAAAGGTGGGAGAACTATACACCTATGTGCATAAGGTCTATTGGCTTGATACATGGAAAGAGATGTACTCCTTCAAGGTGGAGCCTATCAAAGGTAGAGCCATGTGGCCTAAGAGTGATTGCCCAACAACTCTTGTGCCTCCACCACACAACAAAGCTATAGGCAGGACAAAAAAGAAAAGGAGGATTACAGCAGAGGAAAGAATTAAAACCCAACAACGTAAGAGGCAAGCAAACAATCAAAGTCAAAATGATAATGAAACTCAATCACTAAGTAGGAATTTTTTGACAGTGACATGTAGTAAGTGTAAGCAAAAGGGTCACAATACCAGGACCTACAAGGCCAAAGATGGGAATTGATGTTTAAGTACTTAAGTTGTTTATGTTTGTGAAGTCTTGTTAATGCACTTTAGTTGGTACTTTGATGCCTTTTTTTTGGTTCCATTTTGATAATGTACTTTGATGCCCTTTTATGGAACAATGTACTCTAATGTTTTGGTAATGTACTTTAATGCCCTTTGTTGGTAATGATTGTGTTTTGGCATTAATCTGTTATGGTCCCCTTTTGGTAATGTAGTTTGTTATTGGTTTATGTTGTACTGTCAAAGCATGAAGATGTTATGGCAATGCACTTAATGTATGCATGTAAAACCATTACAATTGCATATTCAAGCGTATAGAAAAACCATTACACTTGCATATCATAAAAGGATAAAACCATTACACTTGCCATTGTCATAAAAGCATTACATATCCAATGAACCAAAAGACAACACTTACAACACTAGCACCAAAAGACAACATTTATAAGTGGTCATTACCAACAAAAAAGCCCTAAACTCTAATTCCTAATTCCAAAACAACACAAACAACAGAAACAAGACCCACGAGGCAAGCAAACACATCTTCAGCTGACCCACTTCAACCTCATACCTATTCATTATTCTCAACAGTCCTGGTATGATAACAGTTGATCTTTGACACATAGGGGATCGATCCACCCCAAAAATCCACATCTGGATCCCTACAAGAATACATTAAAGTAGAAGAGTTATTGCATAACTACCGAAATATCATAACCTAATATGAGTTTGCTTACCATTTTAGGGCATGCATAGAAACGACGACCAGGGTTTCATGAGGTCCATGAGGTTCGCACAACAACAACATTCCCACAGAAGCAGAGCACCATTTTTGAATCTCGTAGCAGTAGAAGTAAATGAGAGATGAAGAAGAAGAAGATCTTTGTTGCTCCTTCTTTATAAATAAAAATGAAGAAGAAGGGGATTGCGTATGAGTATGTATATAAAGGAGAAATATGATATTATTTAAAATAAGGACCTAAAATAACCAAAATGCCCTCACATGGAGGGCACGTGATGGCATTAACGGCTCCAAACAAACGGACAATGACGGAATGGATTAAAAACCCATGAAAACCTCGATTTTGGAACTTTGGTGCAAGCTGGAAACTTTTTGGATCCCATCCAAAGGTTTTGACAAACCACAAGGACCAAATTTGCAGTTTTGTCATTTGAAAAATATTTAAGGTAGTCACTTTCTCTTTTATTTGACCTTTTTACCATTTTATTGGGTGATAGAGATTGACTTTCTTCATTCTATTTTTATGTTACCTTTTTACTGTTATTTTCTTGTTTATATAAATAAATCTTTTTTTTTATCTCTGGACAAAAAACAAACATTTTGATGTTCGGTTCCTACTTGTTTTGCCATCACTTGTTGATGTTGTCGGTGGAACTTCTTAAAACACAAATCTCTATGGTTTCGTTTGGTAGTATTCGGTTTTCATTTATTACATTTAATAATTTCCTAATCAAATTATTACAATAAAATTAAAAGGAAATTTTACATTATAAAATAGATAGATAATTAAAAAGGCATGCATATTGCCAAATTACAATTTCAAAATCCAAAAACGACACCAAATAAACACCATATAGGTCTAGTTACGACAATGTGTTACCAAAGTCATACACCTTAATACAACACTTCTATACAATTAAAATGTATTTATGTGACAGCAACAAAGTGTCACAATGTAACAAATCAGCAACAATATAAATAAGATAAATACTCAGTAGCTTTAACAACAACTTCAAAGTGTCTCTATAACCCAGTAAACATTATTTTAGCTTTTTAATAAACTTCATCTGCATGCTGTGTAGTAAAAACATATTTTTTTAACAATGTTTTGATTTAGATCAATTGCATACACTTTGACACTTTAAAAATGATATTTACTATATACATGTTATACTGTCATTAAAAAACTAATTTGACAAAATATTAACATATTAAATATAATTATTTTTATACTTTTCATATGAAAACCGTCTAAACAATATATCTATAATAATGAATCTAAGCATCGATTTTTTATTTTTACTAAAATCAAACTATTTAATTTAAATTGATTTAAGAATAACATTAAAATATACTATATACATATATGTTTATCTTGATAAAAAGAATTTTGTACACCTTTTTTCCGTCCAACTCTTGAACAATAAAAAAGTTTACCTCCTTTTTTTTAATGCCAATAATAAGAGATTAAGATGTTGAAAAATAAAATCTTTTGTTGTGTCGAAATGATGATGTTAGAAAATAGAGGATGAATAGATTGTTTGGATTCTCTGAAAGTCGTGATTCACTATCAAAGTGAAGTATTTCAATGGTACAGATCGAACACTCAATTGGATAAAATTTAAAGAATAAAATGTGAGAATGTATATGAAAATGTTCTTCAAGATATACCAGAAAAATGACCAAAAAACGGATATATCATTCTTGTCTAAAAATTGTCAATAGAGAGTTACAAACTGTTATAAAACTACCAAAACCCGCTCCTAGGGGCGTTGCCTCCGGACCCCCGTTCGTTTAGGGGCTTCTCCCCTAAATAACAATGTACTTTGAATCTTGAAAAACTTGAACAAGTGTACACTCCTACACCATCCTAACTTGTTCAATATTCAACAATATCACTTTTGATCAACAATTTTAATCCTATTACACTTAAATAATATTGATGATATAAAATCACCAACAGATGATATCTAAAAAAAAAAAAACGGACAAAAGAATATTGTTATTTAAAAAAACAGCACACAAAAAATGTTATTTAAAATAAAAAAAAAACAATAAAAATGTGAAATAAAAGAGAAAGGGAGAAAAATCGGATATTTAAAATAAGAAAACATTAAGAAAAACTAAAAAAATAAAGAAAAAATGTTATGCTATTGGATTTTTGATATGGTTGGTCCATATTATTTTCATTTGTTGGATCTGTGGTTCCTCATCATATGAAAAGATCATCTTCCCTTTTAATATGTTTTTTCCTTTTCTTTTTTAGTTATTAATATATTCTAATAATAATATTAAAAAAATACCCCACACCCTATCCTTTCTTCCTTTCTCTCAAACATATGGTGGTAGCTTAGTGTTTTAGTTTTAGTTGCTCCGGTGATGATGGAAGGATGAAAGATGTTGGTAGCTCTGGTCTCCATGTCATCTCGGGGTAGTGTTTCATGGTGTTCGTTTGCCTTCTCATCATGTCAGTTGTCGGAGCTACTAACATATTTATTATATACTTTAGGGACATCAAATCCTCCCTTGGGTATGATCAAAGCACCCTTAATCTCCTTAGCACTTTCAAAGACTTGGTGACAATATTGGAATCATCTTCAGGTTAATTAA